GTAGATGTACCAAGTGCTAGCTAATAAATACTGCTACACTTTTATCAATCATTTACTGACTGTTGGCTAAACTAAGCTAAATTCAAACAATCTTATTATATATGAAGTGTTTGTTTATTTAAGGACAGCCCAACTCCACCCCCTTTACCAAAGACGCCCAATAACTGCCTCAAATCAATCAATCAAAATAATGCTGTTTTGACTCTCGAGGGTACATGTATCTAACTAAAAACAAATGCAGTCCGCCATACCCTCCTTTATCTTTTCAAACTTTTTTAAAAACATTTTATATTCCTAGCATAAATTTCATGTTAAACAGTATTTATTTGTAAGAACACAAATAAAATATTGTAATAAGATCATTGTTATATAATATAATTCCACAACATAAATCTATATGAAATTAGCTGGTGCATAGCCATTTTAAACAACTTACTCATAGGAAAGGTATGGTGTTCTCGTGTAAAATCAATTATAACTTCTGGTTTGAAAGCTAATTTATTTGGATATAAACAGTTCAGCACAATTAAACTGATATTTCATACAAACTAAATATATTAATGTATAACAAACTGTCTTGACAATTGTACGAAAAATATCCAAACAGTCTATGGGTAGAGGTCTCAATTTGGAACCAGTAATTGCTGTTAGTGTTTTAATTAAGCTTGATGTGTTGATTTGCTTAGTGAAGTAGGTATCAATCTGTCTATATTTAAAATGTTTAGGTTCACAGATTTAGCCAAAGTTGCGATTAATATTTTGAAAAAAAATGTTATTGTATAAATACTGTCCCATCACTAAACGAAATAACACATCACATCATTAACATTCAATTCTACAGGATTTTAACCTGGTGAATCTAACTCATATTTTAAAAATATTTATTTCAAAGCATTACTCTGTTCTGGTATTGTGTATACAGTCTGTCTTTTCTTATGCAGTAATCTTCTAATGAACATCGCCTTAAGATGATCACACAAATATGATCAATTTCAAGTTTTAGACAGATATGAGTCATCTGAGGTCAGGATGAACTGACAAACTTTACATTTCAAATATTGACTGTCTGTATATAAATTATAAAACATAGCTAATAGGTAAATATTCATTGTATGAAATTGTGTCTTTTAAACACAAATATGGTTGTATATATGCTTGGGGATATAAATAAATTTTGAACGGGCAGCAGCACAACCATCAAATTATTTTGATATGAAAGTGCTTTTAATGAGCACAGTTTATTTGTACATACACATGAGGTATAAATAAAAACTTATTATAGTTATTTCAAAATATATACTATTTTAATGTTAAATCTGAATCAATTTGAATAATATTTCAAGCAACATTTTTTTTTTAAAAATAAAACCATTCTTGATCGTGTGTAGTCCTAATCTCTATATTTAATCAATTCACCATATAATACATACAATTCAACTAAAAGCATGATGCACAATTACAATACATATTTTCAAGATTTGATTAAATTTCTATTTAGAAAATTACCATACATGTATAGTACATAAGAAAGAATCCCATTATTGATTCAACAATTTAAACTACATAAAGCCATTTCATTACTATATGACTCAGAGTTATAAATTCTTCAAATTCCTACTGTTCATAATATAGTCTTGCTACAACAATCCACAGTTGTGGTCTACATTTATCCTAATGATGATTTTGCTACAAATACTGTGAGACCCCAAGTAATATTTTCAAAAGGAAATTATTTCTTTTAATATTTCTACAAGGTCAACAACACTCAAAATTCAAACATTCACATGGCATAATTTCTCCAAAACATCAATAAATTGAAAGTATTTCCATTTGCAATCGTATGTTTATATACAGAATATTAATTGAACAGTTTTTTTAATTAGAGAATTTACAGTACTTATACAGTACTTATCTTCGGTGTCTGGAATTTTATTTGATGTGAAATTTGTGTAGTGACTTTGGGTAATTTGTGAAAGATTAGCTGGTTGATGCTTTAAGATTCATTATAAGTTGTACACAAGACCTGTCTTGTGTTTTTCAATCCAAATTGCTTTGATATCAGTCGGCCAGCGCCTTGGATTATCAATGAGTAGGTCCAGGGGGTATTTTGAATGTTATATAAGTTAGGTTGCCAGGCAATGAAACATACACATACAGCAGCTAAATCATCTGAGAGGCCGACAAGGGTTGTTGCATATTTATTCTTTATTAGTAACGGGAGGCATTTAAAAGACAATTTCACACAGATCGGATTACAATTTGAGGGTACACAAGGTTCTCCAAACTGAAACAAGGGCCATAATTCTGGAAGTAATTTACAGATATTGCTGAAATTCAACAGCGTTTTTCATTTTACTAATTTAAACAATGCATATAAATTTCATACAGATCAGATGATGACTTGTCGCTTAAATAGGCTTCTTCACCTCACTGATATAAACAACATACAATTTCAAAACAATCAGATGATAAATGTAGTCTGCAGAGTGTTCACAATGGTCATGTTAACATCCATTAAATTTTAGAACAAAACTTCAGTCCATTAAAAAAAAAACAACCCGTAGTAGACCAGATCATCTTACAATATTGTACCTCTGCACTGAACGGTATGGCCAACTAATCTAACATCTGGCTGTATATAATAAACACATCTGGAGTTCATCAGCAAATACATATAAATAAACTTCAAAAGGTATCAATACACTCTTAAGACCAACTAGAAATCAGCCTGATTTCTTCATGTTTAGGAATTTGACCTCAAAGATAATGGAAGTTTGTTGAAGAGAATCTTGTCATCAACTTCTCAAAGATAATAAATTGTCACCCAATTATTATCTATTTAGATGGTGCAGTGTATAAGTGTCATATTACACTGCTCTATATTTAGAATATAAAAGCTAGATGATTTGGAAATCAGGTTCTGTGGGATTTTCAATTGAAATTAAAATTAAAAATGAATAAGAGAATAAAAGAAAATAATCAAATTGAATGTAGAAATAAACAAATTTAATAACAATTTAATATAATAATTATATCATGAAAATAAAATTGATTCAAATATTACATAAAGTAATAATTAGCTTATTTAATTAGATGTAGCATCTTGTTTTAGCCAGGGTATACAAACATAAATTTCAAATTTTAAACCAAATCGGCTAAAAATTGTGACCTCTACACTGTTCACGAGCTCAAAACGTAATATTTCGTACAATCGGGGGCCATAATCCATGAAGTTACAGTCCGGTACATGCCAATATCGAAAGGAACCGAGATCTTAGGGGGATTAACCTATATTTCAAGTTTCATTGAAATTGGATAAAAATTGTGACCTGAAGAGTGTTCACAAACAATTGTGGACGTCCGGACGGATGGACAGAGCCGACGACAATATACATCCACATGAAAATGTCAGCGTATAAAAATGGATTCAAATATTACATAAAGTACCGGTAATAATATGCTTATTTAATGAGATGTAATATCTACAGCAACTTCTCTAAGCCAGGCTATAAAATATCTTACACTATTTTACTCATATACTTTGACATTGACCAATTTGATGTTATCCAATTAAATGATTTTGGACCTTTTTCCTGGGGAGATTAATATTCATAAGTAAAATAAGCGTTGTTGAGCACATTATCTTTGTATAACTCTTGCCAGTGGCATTTTACATTCATCTATGCATATTTATTTCCATAGAAAAGGGCCTATTGAGCCATCGTACATGTATTATATGTGACTACAAGGTACAATACTATTTACAAACTTATCAATTATTATTAAAGAAAATTTGATCCAAAAATATCTTATGTTCGTTCAAAAATATGAACATTTACGGATTTTTTAAATACAGGGAGAGGTTACCCCAAAACAATCTATTTGTTATTTAATATACAGCTTGAATATGAAATATATTTGGAAACAGGCGTTGCCATGCAAGAGACGCCAATTAGGTTTTATTTGGTATGTTGTTTATATACTAAGACCTACACACAAACGGTAATATTACTGGAAGCAACCATTTAGCTACCATATTTCATATCATTTCCCCCACTTTTGTTCAATTGAATTTTAACTTGGTGACCTTATCAAAGAAAGCTGTATTTTGACAATGGTCTATGATTATGTGCTATATACAATAATAGTTACAGCACTGGCATCCTTGACAACAGTCTGATTACAATGACAGCAATAGAGATCTTTCTGAAACCCAACTTTATATAGTAACTATTCCAATTTGCTCTGCAGTGGCACATTGAAGCAAATCTCAACTAAACTAATAAATACATATCGTAATAAAACTTGTTTTTTGCTCAGCTTAATTTTATTCGAAACCCTTCAATCAGTATATTGCTATCTCTCAAAATACAATCTACAATTCAATTTAGTATCAATATTTTCCTTTTGCTTTCGGAATATTTTCGGGATCACAGTTAGATGTTAATTTTTTCTTTTCAAATTAAATATCATCTCTGAAATGATTCTACTTGTACATGTTTCTGTTTTGTTTGTTCCATCTATGGTTTGTTTTAAAGTTCCCCTGTTATAACTTACAATGAGTATATATTTCTTTTCGATTTTAAAGACATTTTATAAAAATAATATATAAGGCCTGGGTTTGGATTCTAAATGAAAGTTTTTATAGCAAAACTACAATCTTTAATTTTAAATCATAAAAGCTAAGCAAAATATCAACTTTTTCAATGTAAAAACTGTTGATTACGGATATGTGCACATAGTAAGTAGTTTTCAAATATAGCTAAGACCCTTAACATCCTCAGAAAATTTCAAGTGCCCACGACCACGGGAACTGGTAGAGGTACGAAAGTGCAATAGCGCCTAACCATCTAATATACATACTTACACATCAAACGATAACGTTGTAAAATATCATTAACAATTCCCTGCCGCTGTTTGGAGTATTCCGAATACTTGATTACCTAGCCTTTCATTTCACAACTTTTATTTTCGGATATCCAGACTTTCATATAGAAGCGAAAAGGTGTGGCCAATGTTGATCAGGTTACTATCGCTTTGTACCAAAACACAAATAGAAGCAGCAATATTAACATTAGTCTTAATTAAAGGCATGTAACATTTAATCACGGTGCAGTTTTCACCAATTCCTACCAGCGGCGATTTAAAAGAAGATAGACTAAACAATTGTAAGTGGAGAGTTAATGTAGACTTACCGTTAGTCTGACGTCTGTGTGAGTGAATGAGAATGTGATGACCTCACTGGGTCAGACTTAGCTATTTTTACTGGCTTGTTGATAGGTTGAAGTTCGTACGGTCTTATTTTCTACCAGTTGCTTTGCTATGTTGATTTAATTTCCTTTAAAATGGCGTTATTTTATCAGATATATGGCCAATTTATCTCCATAAAGTCATTGCATTGCACTCACGTGCATGGCGTTATTTTCAAATTACTTTTTCACTCTACCCAGCGGGCACAGAACGTTGTGACAACGTTTTTCAGAGGTTGTATCACAACGTCTGAAATAAGTCAGCTGTAGGTTGTTTTGCAACAAACTCTTACGTTGTGACAACGTTGTACGGACGTCAAAGCAACATTGTCACAACGTTGTGTGGTGGTTGACGAAAAGTTGTGTGGTGGTTGACGAAAAGTTGTGACAACGTTGTACGGACGTCAAAGCAACATTGTCACAACGTTGTGTGGTGGTTGACGAAAAGTTGTGACAACGTTGTACGGACGTCAAAGCAACATTGTCACAACGTTGTGTGGTGGTTGACGAAAAGTTGTGACAACGTTGTACGGACGTTCAAGCAGCATTGTCACAACATTGTGTGGTGGTTGACGAAAAGTTGTCACGACGTCAGAATTTGTTGTTTTGCAACGTTGTGTGGTGGTTGGCGAAAAGTTGTCACGACGTCAGAATTTGTTGTTTTGAGGTTGTATAAAACCCAGTATAAGCCCCATCCGAACTCCCTACAGTTCTGCCCCTACTGGACTAACGAAGACGGGAATAGGCGGCCGGGCAGGATGGAAGTTAAATTAGGTGTGTGTGCGGGGAAGGGGGGGGGGGCTTAAATGCCCGACAGATTTGGGCCACGGTTTTGACATAGTGAAACGATACGCGAAGTTTCAACACTCTCACTCAATTAGAATCAAAGTTATTGTGTCCCATCACAACCAATCTAATTGCTTCTTTCTGAATAAAATCAGTATCAATTAATAGGACAATACGTAGTTTCAAAACATTCAATTCAAACGATTATATTACAGACAATATTAATGCTAGAGTCATATAACTTTGCAGTAATGGGTAAAGGTAATAGAATCTGATCATTAAATTTTAAGTAATGGTCATGTAATGAGTAATGGAAGATTTCAAAAGTAATGAGTAATGGAAATGTAATTAATTACATTCCGAAAATCATGTAATGGTCAATTACATTTCAATTACATTTAATGGCGCATTTTTGAATGGCATTTAGTAATTGGAACATAATCAAAAAACACACTTTTATGGAATAACAATTACTATGGTTTATTTCACTGCAACGTTTCAACAAGATTTCACAAGTCATTTTCAAGCATATATATACAAATAAATAAAATGAGAAAGATATGAATATATATATAAACATCAGTGGGAACTATCCAATGGTATGCAAGGAAGGTGAACATGAGTAGCTATCACAAGCTATTGATGAAACAACGGTAAATAATCGTATATACTAGGATTAACTCATTATACAATTAAAAGATCAAACAGAGGATTGTTGAGATGTACTGAAACCATACACATTATACTATATAATTGAAACCAGTTTAAAAGAAAATAAGGCATAGATCTATACATGATTAACTAAATATACATTCATAAAAGATCAAACAGAGGATTTACAGAAATATATTAAAACCATACTCTTATGCATTCAGTGATAACTAGAGTTTTAAAAGAATATAACAAGGAAACATATTTAATGTTATTACATTTTATTACTATTTAAAGATTAGTGCTAATTTAGCATTTAATCAATCAGATTTAAAGACATGGTAAAACTATTGTCTTTAAATCTGATTGATTAAATGCTAAATTAGCTCTAATCTTTAAATAGTAATAAAATGTAATTATTTACTTTCAATGTAATGGGTAATGGTAATGAATGATATTGCTAAAAATGAGAAAGTAATTGTAATGCAATTGGTACCGTAATAATAATAAAAATTTATTTATTTATAAAGCGCCTGTTACCAATATAAAACACTGCTCAAAATGGCTTATAAAGATTATAATAAAATATGACATGTAATAAACAAATTAAAACTGTACATGTACTTAATTGGTCCCTCTTCTGTCGGGTGCATATTTTAGATGAGCCGAAACTGCTGTTATTATCTCGGCTTCCTTGCAGCTCGGCTGACTGATCATTACACTATCTGAAGAATACAAAAAAACTGTATATTTACTCTGTCAAATTTTGTAAATTATATAATTGAGTCCGATCAAAAAGGTCGTCTTAAAGCTGTAACAGATAATTCTGCATCCCATGAATTATGGAGCAAAGGTGGCTAATTGGGTAAAACGCTGGCTCGCTTGTCTGGAGGTCGCATTTTCGATCCCTACATTTGCCGAGAAAGTTCAGTAGGCCTGACAAGGACAATTCGTTTGGATGGTATGAAAAACCGAGGCCACGTGTACACATTGACGTGCAAGTAAAAGATCTCTTTGGCAGTTGGAATTCGATATAAGAGTAGGCCATAGTGCCGCTGCCCGGGCAAAATTTCCATCATAGCACGCGGTATGGCTCATGCCCGTCTTCATTAGCCTAGTCGGAGCAGAACAGTAGGACGTTAAACCCCATATGAATTATATTATATATGACCCAATAACACATTCTATATGAGACATCGCTTGTGTTATAACTTTCATATTCTCCATGAATTTGTACGTGTAAGAAAGGCTTGGGTGTAAATTACAAAAAAAAAAGATCAATACTCATCGATGAAGTAATAAAAACTCCTGTATGCCCATACCATGTTTGATTATCCGATATTTAAGGATATGTTCGTAAATTGAGTATGATAAAAACAAACCTTGGACAACTTTGTAAATTTCTAAGTCCATTATGGACCGCCTCCCTTTATTTCCCTTTAAATTAAATTGGGCCATTAGGGAATTAGACATCAACCTGTTAAAATAAAAAGACATACTGTTTATGCGTTTGACAATACCACGAATTTTGACTTTCCATTCCTTGACACCTAGAAATGGACATAAATGGGTTGCAACGCATATAATAATGTAATATGAATGTATATTAACTGATTTACATTCAATCGTTTCTGTTTTTACTGTAATGTCTAATCAGTTATGTTCGGCGAAATACGCGAAGAGAGAGAGAAATGGGGTTTAACGTCCACTTGACACAAACTAGGTCATTTCGGGACTAACACATGGTTCAATTTTATTTCAATAATTCGCTAGCGCGTAGGGGGTCTTTTTAGCAGTGGGACGAAACCTGAGGACCCGGAGAAAACCCACCAGGTTGGACAGGCGACCCAACTCCTTGTCACGTACAACCGGGGAAAAAAACGGTTAAAAAAAATTACAAACCGATATTCGTTTTCATATCATATTTGACATTCAAAACCAGGAATGGTAGCCAAAAATGTTTTCATTCACTAAAGACTATATAAATAGTTCATACAGCACGAGTGCATATATCACTTGTCATTTGTAATATATCACAAGTTTTGTATACGTTACATTACTATTAACACTCCCTGCAAAGCTTCATGAAATTGGTAACCCTATACATTTAAAGATAATAGATACTGGGAAAGTCCATTATACAATACTATAAATATTGTAATGGCCCCTTCCAATTCCAGACATAGATTGAAATAGCTCTTTCTAAATCCAGACATAGCAATTAACCAAAAACTAAATGATTAAAATGCAATACAATTATAAAATAAAAACACTAAAGTTTCAAAACTAAAATAAATCATTTAAGAGGTAATAAAACATATTTAAAATACTCAATTTACTTTGCAAGGAGGGTTCAATAATGAAATGACAATAGAAGTTCGGCTACCAGTAGAAAATAATCTACAATTACCGAAACAATTAATTCTTTTATATCATAATTATTTCTAAATGGACACAAAATGTTAATTAATCGTAACATACCTAATTTTCAACTTTTACGCCTTCTAGCAACTTATAAAACTCAATAGTTTATCACAGCTCTAATAAAGCAGCCATGTTTGGCTAGGATTCCTTTTTGGCGGAAAGATGTTTAAATTTGATTGGACCAACTGTCAACCTTGGGTGTGTTTTAAAATAAAATATGTATAAGATAATTAATCTTGACCTTTATTGGGTTTTTTTATATACCGGTACATTAAATATAGATATTTTGCAATTAAGTTATGAACGTAATTAAGTTTTAAAGGTGTATTAAACCTTTAATAAATGTTTTTAAAATTTTTTTTTTACCTATTCATTGCGGGTTCTTTATAAACGTTTCATAAACGTTAAAAAAAAAAATCATATTTACGGTACTACGTTTTAATGGAAAATTTTGAAAGAAAACATCAATTATGAACGTTATCTAAACATATTATATTAAACATTTTTATCAATATTTATCGAAAACTTCTGAAAAACATACACTTAAAACATTTAAAAAACGTTTGATAAATATTTTTTTTTTACATAACCTTTTAGAAACAAAAAAAAAATAACAAAAACAAAAACAAAAAACGTTTTTAAAATATTTTGTGCTTGCTGGGATTCACTTAGACCTGTAATTAATTAAATAATGGCCAGGTTTCACACTTATATATACTGAGCGCCATGGAAAACGCATCACTTAGTTTTTCGTATAACAAAATGATCCTGTAAACATATCTTATTTATTTTGCTTCTTATTGTGAACAATATTCAAATGGGAACACATCAATAACAACACATTTGTACACTCATGGATGTTTAATCTGTAATCAACGGTACAAAGTCAGATGTGTGTCCTCCGCGGGCTCTTACGCACGCTGTGCAGCGACGTCGCATGGAATTAACCAATGTTTGAAAGAAGGCCTGGGGCAAATTGTTCCATTCTTGGACAAGAGCAGCTTCTAAAGCAGCAATGGTGTGCATCTGTGGTCTCCGATACAGACGGCGTCCAATCGCATCCCAGACATGTTCTATCGGTGCCATGTCCGTAGACATGGCTGGCCAGTCCAAGACATTGATGTTGTTAGCAGCCAGGAAGTCCATACTAAAACGGGCGGTATGCGGACGTGCATCATCCTATTGGAAGCGCTGAAGTTGTGGGTGCGCTCGAAACATCGGAACAACAATTGG